GGTGACCCCAGGGGTGATGTCAGTTGATCCCCAGGTGTCCCCAGGTGTCCCCAGGTGAGGTTCAGGTGTCCCCAGGTGACCCCAGGTGACCCCAGGTGTCCCCAGGTGAGGTTCAGGTGTCCCCAGGTGACCCCAGGTGACCTCAGGTGACCCCAGGTGACCCCAGGTGAGGTTCAGGTGTCCCCAGGTGTATCTCAGGTGTCCCCAGGTGACCCCAGGTGTCCCCAGGTGAGGTTCAGGTGACCCCAGGTGTCCCCAGGTGTCCCCAGGTGACCCCAGGTGTGACGTTCCCGTCCCCGCGTGTCCCAGCTCCAATCCAGGTGCGCCGGGCTCGGGTGGGCGGAGCCAACGCGCGACGATCCCGGTCAGGTACCAGGTGTTCCTCGTGCTGGCCAGGTGAGTGACGGGGGAGGGGCCACACCCGTGTGACGTCATCGCTGTGACGTCATCGGTGTCACACCTGTGTGACGTCATCGGTGTCGCACCTGTGTGACGTCATCAGTGTCACACCTGTGTGACGTAATCGGTGCCACCCCTGTGTGACGTCATCAGTCTCACCTGAGTGATGTCACCTGTGTGACGTCATCGGTGCCACACCTGTGTGACGTCATCAGTCTCACCTGAGTGATGTCACCTGTGTGACATCATCGATGATGTGTCATCTGTGTGACGTCATCAGTCTCACCTGTGTGTATCACCTGTGTGACGTCATCGGTGATGTGTCACCTGTGTGACGTCATCAGTCTCACCTGTGTGTGTCACCTGTGTGACGTCATCGGTGTCGCACCTGTGTGACGTCATCTCTGTGTGACGTCGTCTCTGTGTGACGTCATCAGTGTGACGTCACCTGTGTCAAACCCCTGTGACGTCATCAGTCTCACCTGTGACGTCACCTGTGTGTCTCACCTGCGTGACGTCACCCGTCTCACCTGTGTGACGTCACCTGTCCATGACGTCACCCGTCTCTCCTCACCTGTATGACGTCACCTGTCCATGTCTCACCTGTGTGACGTCATCCGTCTCACCTGTGTGATGTCACCTGTGTCTCCTCACCTGCATGACGTCACCTGTCCATGTCTCACCTGTGTGACGTCATCCATCTCACCTATGTGACGTCACCGGTCCATGACGTCACCTGTGTGACGTCACCCATCTCACCTGCATGACGTCACCTGTCCCACCTGTATGACGTCACCCGTGTCTCATCTGTCCATGACGTCACCTGTCCGTGTCTCACCTGTGTGACGTCACCTGTGTCTCACCTGTATGACGTCACCCGTCCGTGACGTCACCCGTCCATGACGTCACCTGTATGACGTCACCCATCTCCCCTCACCTGTCCACGTCTCACCTGTATGATGTCACCTGTCCATGACGTCACCCGTCCATGACGTCACCCGTCCATGTCTCACCTGTATGACGTCACCCCTGTCTCTCCTCACCTGTCCATGTCTCACCTGTATGACGTCACCCGTCCATGACGTCACCTGTATGACGTCACCCATCTCCCCTCACCTGTCCATATCTCACCTGTATGACGTCACCCATCCATGACATCACCTGTATGACGTCACCCCTGTCTCTCCTCACCTGTGTCTCACCTGTATGACGTCACCCGTCCATGACGTCACCCGTCCATGACGTCACCCGTCCATGACGTCACCTGTCCATGACGTCACCCGTCCATAACGTCACCTGTCCATGACGTCACCCGTCCATGACGTCACCTGTCCCCGCAGCTCCCCGGACTCCACCCGTTACCTGAACGTCACTTCCGGCTCCGCCCCCCCCGCCCCCGTC